TTTTATCTGGAAATATTTTTCTAATTTCTATCATTCTTGCCACTTCACAAGTTTCGATTTACGTAACGTTACAATACAATAAACCAACCTATGCTTCTTTTCTCAAGTTGTCAGAATATAGATGTGAGAGACATCTCCCGTATGAACATTCACCGAGGGCACAAACTGATCAGTAAAACTATTACTGCCTGTACACGTTGAAACGTTTCAGGGAAAAAACTTGTTATTAGCAAGGTGCAACAAACAAACTGATGTACCACCACTGCATATGCCATATCATACGTCCATCTTCCAAGTCTCAAGGAATGAACATGCATTTTTTGGGGTAATTCTGGCAAAAATGCACATTTATTCATTTCATTAAAACATAATTGACAAAAATTTAAGAAAAACTGTAATCTTAGCACAAATAGTGAATATGAAACAAACTGCTTTTGATAAGTTTTTGGAAAAAAAAGTTCAAACGAAATATCACTAAAACTATCATGACTAATGGCCACACCTAAATCCAGGACTTGTACCAGAACAAAATGCTTTAAACTTGTTATTAAACAAAATAGTTTCTTTGATACAAAAATGTAACTATTTGAAGAGGAATGAAAATGCATTACTTCAGTAAAGAGGGCAAATTGAAAATATAATAGTGCAAATCGAAAATATTAGAGATGTAACCACAGATCACTAAGCATGTGGCCATCAAAGATCTAAAAACAAAATTACACAAATACAAGAGCATTTTGTTGTGGTTCAAGTCACTGACTATAGAAATAAAATTTACATTATACTAGGTAATTTCTCTCATTTATAAAAAAAAATGTAATGTTGGAAATCTTCATTCAATCTAAATTAAAAATTTTCTTAAAAGTGGCTCATCAGTCATGCAAGCTAAGAATACATTAACAATAATGAGCACATTACAAGGGAGTAAATAGTGCAAGTGGGCATACCATTGCAACTTTCTGTTTCAAGTTGCTCATATTTAATATTCACACGATCACTAGCAGGAATTTGTAGTACTTTGGGTAACACTGTTCACAGAATCTGTAAAAGAAAAAGAAAAGAATACATTCAGAAAATTTATAATAGAATATGTAGATCATGTGCAAATTAACCTATTTGCTGGGCTAGACAATAACAGATGCCCTATAATACATTGCAAATTCTTTAGTTATATACAAAAAAATTAGCACATATTTATTAAGACCGGACTAAGTAAATTCAATAAAAGAATAAATCAGTGTCACAGAGAAAAGATGGAAACTTGTAAGTATACATATTAAGTTAACACAATCACAAAAGAATTTCAACAAATTTTACGCTTTAAACAAAAATACACTACAGTAGTTACCTCTGCTGTAAGCTGTCGAGAAACTTTAAAAGATGCAAAAAAAACGTGAGGAAAAGTATATTGAATTGAAAACAATTTATAGATAACGATTGTTGCACAGGCGCAGTCGCCTGGGCAACTAATGATATGCTGATATTACCAGGCATGGAGGATCATTTATCTATCTAATTATGTATGTAAAGTATGCTTAGGATACACGTAAGCAGACACCCTAGCAACTTGGCCAACTGCCAGCACTAAACATAAGATCCGGCCGGGCCTGCAAGTTGAAATAAAATCCAGCACATGACATTCCAAACGGGCAGTGAGAGTGAACATGTCAACGATTTATTCAAGTACTTTGATTTTTTGCTTAAAAAGGAGCAAAGCCACAAAGCTCGGCAGGATGAGAGCATAGAGGAAGCAATCACGAATAAATTATTATAATGTTGCAGTCTCGTGACAAGCCGACAAACGAAAAAAAAATGTGCTCGACAGCAGCGAAAAAATCCAACAAATTCACGTTTTTCGGTTATTAATGATTAAGTAACATGTTTTGTACTTAAATACAACTTGTTGAGATATTATTGTACACAGATAAATCAATAAAATTATGAACGAGATGAAAAACATGGTAGAGGGGGCAGAGAATGGCCCACCATGCGTGAAGAACAAAAGATAAAAAAAAAAAAAAAAAAGAGACGCACCTTTTGGGTAGAGGCTGCTTGGCGAATTTAAGTCCTCGTAGCCCACACTGTCCAGCCCAAATGTACCAATGCACTCCGATGGCATTTTTAAAATCCTGCTATTGCCCTTCAAATCAATTTTGAAGAAAAGTAGAAAAAATGTCTGTAAAAATGTGACAATCGTTAAACTTCACTGTATGGCGTGCGCGGCAAACTGAGCTCAGAAAGAGGCTTGCCAACGACTAAAATTCATAGAAATCGTGACGTCAACATCTAAAATTAGAATAAGTCGATTGACCCGTTCTGCGCGGAAGAAACCATTATTGGCCAATCAGAAAGCCTCATTATCTTAGATTCGCAAACACTCGGTTTTGCCCGATTTTACCCGAACAGATTACCGAACTCATCCGAAAGTTAAACCAATATATAAACGCGGAGAACAGTTATAAAAGGTAGGTATTGTTGCACTTATGTTGAATCACGGTTACTTGTTTTAGAACCGATCGAGCCAGTGTCAGGCATATGACCAATATATGGAAAGAATTTGCCAATTTCTCGGTAACTTTTTACGTTCGTTAATGCGCTGTCTCTTGCGTTTGTGTGACGCGACTATACACACATGCCAGTTGACTGTGAACTTCGACAGCTGGAGCTTGAACCATAGACGTTTTTTTAGACCACGCTTGAACTTAGGTCCCCAACCACGGGACGGTGGTCGGGAGTTGATGGGATATTTTTGATCAAACACAGTGCCTCCATACACTATTTATTTATTTATTAACACACAACATCCCCCGGAGGGGATGAAAAGGGTTACATACACTATAGAGAGACTGTGATTCATTGATAGGGTTATGCGTGCCCAACATTTAAGCGCGGTGGTCGTCACGCAGCGCGTGTTCGAATTTCATGTAAATAAACAATGTATTTTACACGCGTTGTATACATCGCTATATATCGAACTGGGCGCGACACGGCGACTGCCGCCCTTTAAGCTTCTGTCTTTTAAGAATATAAAGTAATGTATCAAACTTTAGGACTAGATTTTATAACAATTCTTAAAATATGAAATAGTGCGAAAAATAAAGTGAACATAAATAAACAAACTTGGTCTTTTACAAAATTTGTGTTATTTTAACATTTATGCACTGAATTTTTATATCACATAGCATTAATTTTTAACCATGAATTTTATTTATTGACACAACACTAACTTTGGAAAGTAGAGTCCCCTTTGGTCACTAAAAACTACAAGATAGAAAGTGGACACAAATTACTAAGTTACGTTTACAAATTGCGAGATTCACTGACAATTAAACTTGCAATAATACATAATATATATCTACTAGTAGCTTCGCGATTAGTGACTTTCACGATGGTTGACTTTCACGGTGAGTGGCAGAAACTTGTCTTTACTTCGGAGTTGAGAATCTTATGTTGTATGTGTCATTAACAACCGGTGTTAATATGGGAATACCATGTATAATTAAAATGATACAAAGTATATGAGATATGTAATTATATGCATAAATGACACATACTAATAAGAAAACGCATTTTGCATTAAGTGTTATTTATGAAAATATTTGTTCACAATTTTATAAACTGGCTTGAAAATTCCCACCACCAATACAAATGTACATAATTCTGTTTGCTTTGCATGTGTACTATGATTGCATATTTTAATACATACACACTCAAAATATTTATTGTATAACCTGGATAAAAGAAAGCAGAGTCCCATATTGAGGGGGGGTAAGAGGGTCACTATAAAAAAAATGGAAGTTCCATTTACAGTTAAAAAATAGTTTTTTACACTTTACAGATAAAGTTAATTCAAAATTACGAATGAATAAAATAGCTGATTACATTTTACACCTTGTTCATGTCTACAAATTTACGTTTTGTATTTATTTAAATTACTAGAACATTATTATGAAAATAAAAAAACAATTGATTAGAGTTTACGAAAATACCCCTTGCCAACCCATGTTGACTATCATGTCCCAAACCGTTTACCTAATTGTCAGTGTCTGACTGATATATACAGAATGTGACCATGAAAACGTTAGAATAGTAAAAAAAAAAGAAAGCTAAAAGTCAGTTGCCCGTGCCGAGAGAGCTACAAAACCAAAACAATATGTCAGCTGTCACCGTCCACACCAGCAATATGATTTTACACATACAAATTGAGAATTACAAATGCATAAAAATGAACACTAAATACAGCTATACGGGTCAGCAATTGAATCATCAATCTTCATCAGTGATCTAACTGGTATTTCCACCTATTTGCTTTATAGTGGTCCGTAAGTGAATGCTGTCATGTTCGAGAGTGTGTTTTGACGTACAGCGACCCGAACATTATTGCTACATATTTGGGCGTGAACGTGTTCTATATTCACCCCCAAAAAAAAAAAAAACTGAAACAAAAGTAGCCGTCGGATCTAAATGATCTGCGTCTATCTCCCTTGCGTTTCCGAGCGAGAGAAGGTTGAGGCCAATCTTCCATGATTGTTTGGTTATCATCAATTGGGACGTGAATCCCTCTGGCGACGAAAACGGTGATAATAACCAAGGGGTGAGAGACTTTTTACCTCGGCGATAGCTAAACATGGCGACAATTATGCAACATTTTATTTCCCGCAATTTATGGTACACGACTTAAAAACGCAATGCACCGGATTTTCCCAATAAAGGTTCTAGTTGTGTGGTGTGGCACTGGTGTGAAAAGCTATTGTATAAAATGGTGACAACGGTCGAACGCATGGTTATACTAATTTGATTTCCGGCACGTTAGTTTACAAAGAATTGAAAGATTTCTTGAATTTTCTCAGCGATAGTTATGGTACATGAATTTAAACCAAAATGTTATCGACAAGACTCAGGAGACGACAGTGACAGCCACTGAAATGTAATTGAAGGCAAATGAACACATCAAGCAAAAATAACTGTTTCGAGTTGTGGCGTGAAATGGAGGCATATAGCATTGTTGACTCTTGAGGGGAATGGAAATCAGTTGATTTGTGAGGGTGTCACAATAAGTGAGGGAGCAAATCATTTTATGCTACGAAAAAGTGAAGACTCTGAAACATACTTTTTGGGCTTTATATCTTATAATTATATCTCAAAAGTGAATAGTCGTGGTGTATTTTAAGTCTAACCGACCAGAAGTGGGATTTTGTTAGTACTCTAAACATCTAAACATATTTTAGTATAAGGTAGTAATAATTATACTCCCGCTATGTGGTGCTGCTGTCTAAATTTAAGGCAATGTTTAATAAATTGTATTGATCTTTGCAGACTGGTTATAAAAATAAATAGATGAAATACTGCAAATATTCTACATGCACTCTTATCTCTGTATCATCTGACTTAACATGTACGTTCTTGTTCTCATGAATGTTTTATGCAGTTCTGCTCACATATTTTTGTTGTCAGTGTAAATTGTGTTTCCACAGTTGTTCAGTACTACCTAGATTATGCTCCCACACTTGCTATATGTGTGGTCAATAATGCATAAATCGTCCGTGTCAATGTTTTACTTTTTCGACTTCTTCTTGAAAACTATAAGCCTGAATGCTTTGATACTTGGTGTATATGTACCTTGGGTAGACCTCTCTTAAGTTTGTTCATTTCATGTTGATATCTTCAATTTCTCTAATTTTGGTGAATATTTTTGTCATTTTTGGTAAAATGTGATATTTTCGACTTCTTGTTGAAAACCGCAAGTTCAATTGCTTTGATATTACATATATAGGTCCTACATGTGGACCTCTCTCAGATTTGTTCATTTTGTAATGATATCTTTAATTCTCTAATTTTGGTGAATATTTTTGTCATTTTTGGTAAAAAGTGGTATTTTCGACTTCTTGTTAAAAACCTCAAGTCCAATTGCTTTGAAATTACATATATAGGTACTACATGTTGACCTATCTCAGATTTGTTCATTTCATGATGATATCTTTAATTCTCTAATTTTGATGAATATTTTTGTAATTTTTGGTAAAAAGTGATATTTTCGACTTCTTGTTAAAAACCACAATCATTTATGGTGAAAAATGATATTTTTGAATTCTTGTTGAAAATAGCAAGTCCCATTGCATTGATACTATGCATATTGTTCATTTTCTAATGATATCTTCTGTTCTTTAATTGACATGTGCAGTGCTAACAGCGGAGCTATCTCAGCCGAGAGGCTGCTTGTTTTAAACAAGGGAACAGGGGCACAGTGCCCTCATGCCATTGCCATGCGCCCCCTTACCCTGGGGAGCAGATCCTCTGGCAACCATAAAATTCTGATTGACCAGGGATCACATGTTGCCACAGTCTTCAACTGTGACCTATCTGATAGTAATTTTGGCCCTAAGGAAGCCATAGAATGCTCCATTTTAACTTATAATTATCAAAAACTCCACATTCGGTAGGGAGAACCCTAGCTTTCCCACTTGGTGGCACTGCTAAATTGCAGTGC